CCTTTCCTTCGGCGATCCCACGGCGTTCCCACCCTGCAGGGCTCATCCCAAACATCCCAAACGTGCCTTGGAATGCGATCCCAAAGCCTGAACATCCCAGAGCCTGAACTTCCCAGTGCTGTGCCCATCCCAAAATCCCACCGGAGCCTGCTGGACCACAGGCGGTCCTAGGGGCTGCAAATCCCTTTCCTTCGGCGATCCCACGGCGTTCCCACCCTCGGGACTCATCCCAAAATGCATTGGAATGCGATCCCAGAACCTGAACATTCCATGCTGTGACCATCCCAAAATCCAACAGGAGCCCGCTGGACATGGCTGGGGACTGCACATCCCGGGTTCCCCGTTCCCTTGGGCATTCCCACCCTGCAGGGCTCATCCCAAACATCCCAAAGGCGTTGGAATGCGATCCCAGAGCCTGAACATCCCAGAACCTGCAGGTCCCAGTGCCGTGCCCATCCCAAAATCCCACAGGAACCCACGGGAGCGCAGCCTGGGCCGGGCGGGAATGGCAGTGGTGGCAGGGCAGGGAGGAGCCAGAAGGATTTGGGGGTGATCCCAAACTCCTCGAGAGCAGCTGGAATGTGGGAATGATGAAGAAAAGGCTTTCCTGCTTGGCACCACTGGGATTCCCAACGTCCACCAGCATTCCTGACCCCAAAAAACATTCCTCACCCCAAAAAACATTCCCAGACCCCAAAAAACATTCCTGATCCCAAAAACCATTCCTCACCCCCAAAAACATTCCCAGACCCCAAAAAACATTCCTGACCCCAAAAAACATTCCCAGACCCCAAAAACCAATTCCTGACCCCAAAACCCATTCCTGACCCAAAAACAATTCCTGAACCCCATTGACATTCCTGACCTCCACTGACATTCCTGACCTCAAAACCCATTCCTGACCACAAAAAACATTCCTCACCCCAAAAAAATTCCCAGACCCCAAAGACAATTCCTGACCCCAAAAACCATTCCCAACCCCAAAACCAATTCCTGATCCTAAAACCCATTCCCAGACCCCAAAAAACATTTCTGACCCCAAAAAACATTCCTGACCCCAAAACCAATTCCTGACCCCAAAACCCATTCCCAGACCCCAAAAACCATTCCTGACCCCAAAAAACATTCCTGACCCCAAAAATCATTCCTGACCCCAAAAACCATTCTTGACCCCAAAACCCATTCCTGACTTCAAAAAACGTTCCCAACCCCCAAAAAAATCCTGACTCCAAAAAACATTCCTGACTCCAACTCCAAAAGTCATTCCTGACCCCCAACAACATTCCCAGACCCAAACCCCATTCCTGACCCCAAAACCCATTCCTGACTTCAAAAAACGTTCCCAACCCCCAAAAAAATCCTGACTCCAAAAAACATTCCTGACTCCAACTCCAAAAGTCATTCCTGACCCCCAACAACATTCCCAGACCCAAAACCCATTCCTGACCCCAAAAACAATTCCTGACCCCCACTGACATTCCTGACCCTAAAACCCACTTCTGATCCCAAAACCCATTCCCAACCCCAAAACCAATTCCTGACCCCCAAAACCCATTCCTGACCCCCAAAACCCATTCCTGACCCCAAAACCCATTCCTGACCCCAAAAACCCACTCCTGACCCCAAAGACAATTCCTGACCCCAAAACCCACTCCTGACCCCAAAACCATTCCCATCCTCCCCTCCCTCTCCTGGAGCTCCAGGTTTCCCAGTTCCCTTTCCCGAGTTACAAAACCACAACCCCAAACCGAGGGGTTATTTTGGGATTATAATAATAAATAACAATTAAATTTGGGTTATTGAATTGTTCCTGCCCTGGGAGCCTCCGGGTGTTGGGTTTTCCTCTTGGAATTGCTCTTTGTCCGTGGTTTACGCTGGGTTTGGGATTAAAGGGTCATTCCCGGGGGAAAGTTTGGGATAAATCCATTGATTTAGGGCAAATCCCTGAAAAAGGGGCATAAAGCCCTTCTCCTTCATCCCCCATTCCATCCCCTCTCCCAGGGCGGGAAATCCTGCGGGATTTCTGGGCTGGAATGTGGCACTTTGGGGGCGTCCATGCAAGAAACAGTGGGAAAACCCACCCAAAATCTGGAATTTTGGGATTTATCCAGGATGGAGGGTGACACTGCAGTTAATGGGAAAACCCACCCAAAATCTGGAATTTTGGGATTTATCCAGGATGGAGGGTGACACTGCAGTTAATGGGAAAACCCACCCAAAATCTGGAATTTTGGGATTTATCCAGGATGGAGGGTGACACTGCAGTTAATGGGAAAACCCACCCAAAATCTGGAATTTTGGGATTTATCCAGGATGGAGGGTGACACTGCAGTTAATGGGAAAACCCACCCAAAATCTGGAATTTTGGGATTTATCCAGGATGGAGGGTGACACTGCAGTTAATGGGAAAACCCACCCAAAATCTGGAATTTTGGGATTTATCCAGGATGGAGGGTGACACTGCAGTTAATGGGAAAACCCACCCAAAATCTGGAATTTTGGGATTTATCCAGGATGGAGGGTGACACTGCAGTTAATGGGAAAACCCACCCAAAATCTGGAAT